TAATAATCCAGCACTTTTTAGTTCTTGTCATTAATATGATTTACACATTCTTTATAGCTCATGTGAATAATAATCCAGCACTTTTTAGTTCTTGTCATTAATATGATTTACACATTCTTTATAGCTCATGTGAATCGTTTCTAATAATAATCACTTAATTCAAGTCATAACCCAAGTTTGACTTATCCTAATCAAATGTAAATTATGAATCGGTGATTTCAATCCAATAATCAAAGTCACTTTTTTTTTAATCTTTAAACATATTAACATATAGCTCACGACATATGGTTATTTGTCATATATAGCTGACATTAATCCATTGTAGAGTTCCAATTTAGGGCTCAAATCATCAAAATATCAATAATCCAAACTTTATTTTTGATGTCCTAGTAACAACAGCATGCTAATATGACTTAAAGCATCATTATCCAGCCAAAATTATAACATACAAAGCAATTTCCTCCGCATTAGGGTTTATAGTACTCCAATCATGTTATAATTAGTAGATATCATGTTAATTTAACTCAATCCATCGCAATCTCCACTTAGTTCTTACATGTGAGACTTAGACCAAAACTAGGGTTCATGCAATCAGTTCCATCAAATTAAACAAATTAAATGAACAATAAAAGATGGTTTACCTTTCTTCCAAGCTTGTATGAGTTCGATCTTTGCTTTCCCTTGGGAATCCCTTTGTTGCATCAAAATTCCAGCCAGGTATATATCCACTTTTTCGCACCTTACAACCACACATACACTATGGGAAAGTTTTGGAATGATAATGGTTGAAAGCATCATTAATAGCATCAAATGGAGGTCAAAGAAGGGGACATGTCAGCATACAACTTGTTTTGCGTAGAACCAATTGCCAATTTGCCACCCTTACTCTGTCCATTTCTGGTGCTTAAATGCTCCCTGATTGATTCTTCTTGGCATGCAGTCTGAGTATTATAAGCAAGCCTAGAGAGTTACGTTCACATAGCTTGCTGGAAATGCCCCATTCTAACCTTTTTACCCTTGAATGCTCTCAAGCAAAACCCTAACAATTCTCAGGCAACTTAGGTGTTTTAAACTTGCTTCAAATAATTATGGAAATTAGGATACATATTTAGCTTTGGCCTATATATAAATCATATTACTAAGCAAATAAAGTCAATCACCACACTGAAAAGTGGTCCTCTTCCCTCATAGCATCCTTTGATGATTTTATTAGCATCAAAATCTCAAGACCAATTCTAGTTTACGTGGACTTTTTTATATATAAAAACAATACTATTATTTGACGATGAAAAGTGCAAAGCCCTACATCAAATGAATATCAGAATTAATGTAGTTTATCAAATTAATAGCATTCAGTTGATTATAGGTGAAAAATGGTTGTTAGCACGTGATAAATGTAGTTAAGAACTAGGGATCCCTTAAGAACTACATGCACCCCATTTAGAACTGGGGTTCACATTACGTATTACACATGTTTTTTTAATTTATTTTATAAAATTGTAGAGTAGGTCTTCGGTTGGTTAAATGTTGGCACCCTCTTTTACAAATTTCATATTTTTTACACTCTTTTCTTACTAAAATTATGACTCCCATGCCCATGCCTTTCATATGTTAAACCCATTTCACTTTTAACCGTTGAACATTTTGCTTCTTTTCAAAAAAAAAAAAAAAAATCAAACTTAATCTATTTTTATAAGTTGAAAAAAACAACCACCAATTTGTTGTCTCTCCCGCTTCGACCGTCACTAGAGGGGCCACCACCACTATAAATAACCACTACTATCGAAGGGGACACCGTTGTTAACTATATCATGAACCCTGGTTAATTTTGATTCTGGATCCGTTGCCACTGATTGTTAGCAGTGGCGGATGTAGTCAAGTCCTAGTGGGGTGCATGCACCCCACTTAGAAGTGAGTTTCACCTTATAAATTACACAAAATTTCCAATTTATTCTATAAAATTGTAGAAATTGTCCCCATTTAGTTGGTTAAATGTTGACGCCCTCTTTTACAAATTTCAGTTTTTTGACTCTTCTTTGTTTTTCTTATTGACATTATGTCTCCCATGCCCATCTCCCTTTCATATATTAACCCCGTTTCACTTTTAGTTTTGCTCATTTCGAAAAAAAAAAAAAAAAAACTCTATCTATTTTTATAAGTTGTAAAAAACAACCATCAATTTGTTGTTTTCTGGCTTCAACCGTTACTAGAAGGTCACCTGCCACCACCACTATAAGTAATCACTATTGCTGAAGGGGACCATTGTTAATTATATTGTGCACCCGGTTGATTTCGATTCTGGATCCGCCACCCGTTGTTATTAATTCCACATTAATCATAGGAAAAGATTTTAGCTGCTATTAATCACTAGTTGCTAGATTCACTTGTGCTTTACATTTATAATTTATCCAGATAGCCAGTTTGCTTATTATCACCATGCAGCTCAAATCTATACATTGCTGATAAACATCACAACACAAGACTGACCTAATCAATTTCACAAATGTATACATTTTAGTACATTGTAAACCACACCTCTATACTTGTAATTATTACAACTTTACACCTTTAATCAACATAGCATCACCATAAAACTACTACATGGTGAATTATTTTACAATATCTCTAGAGTTATTACAACATAATACATCATACCAATCAAAGTACTTTTTCATGCATTCCATCATATCATATCTCCTAGCAAAGCATGATGCAGTTGCTTGATAGTTGATATGAAATTCCATTAATATCTGCCTTTTTGTTTTTTAACATGTTTTGGAGTTCAACTGTAACCTGGCATACATTTTCATATTTATTCACATGCATTAATCATAATAATTGTATAATCAATCAAAGTAAAGTCATATTCATACCCTAGTATCATGGTTTCTGTTGGCAAGTAGTTCTTTTGTGGTTGTGGTTGGCTTAGCTGGAGACTTACGTGTGCATGTAACTCATTATTATTGCAATGCAATCCATAAACCTAAGGTTCAGATCATTATATATGCTCAGTGGTGATTAGAATGCATTTATTAATTGTACTTGGAAAGATTGTCTAGATCAGTACCTTCTTATGTTCTGCTTGTTCTTGAAGCAGGAGATCTAGTTTCTTGTGCAATTCTTCATTTTCATGAGCAACAAGACTCCCCTAAAATGATATGAATCAGAATTCAGAACCTGTTTTATGCATAGTCTAAGGAAATTAACAATTATTGTTTGTTTTTTACCTTGTGGTGTAACTCTTTTACTTCAATTGTTAATGCTTGTTCCTGTAGCAAGAAATAAATGTAGTCAGTATTTGGCTTTGTTTCCATGTTCATATCACTTCACTCTACACACAATGATACTTATGTTTGATTATGAAATAAAGTTCTTCATATTTAGTAACAACTGAATTGATATATTTGTGTGGATGACAATAACATGAGAATTCCTACCTTCTTTGTTCTGACACCCTTTAGACTCCTTTCCAGTTGGGCTTCTAGATTCTGGAGATCATTGACATTCAAACCAAAAAGTTCTTCGCCCAACAGCTGCCTGCAAGAATGGTATCATTGGGTAACAAATATTAGCGAATTTTAAGATTTATCATTGACATTATATTGTTTTAGGAACATAAAAGAAAGATTAGGGGCTTTATTTTTAACCTGTGGCTTTGTTGCAAATATTCAAGTTGTTGCCTCAGTTGAACTGCTTCTCCTTTCCAAATCTATTGAATGAGAAAAAAAAATGCTTAGGTATAAAATATATATGAACAATCATCTCTCTGTAACGGTGCATGAGCAGTGAATATATATTCTTTAGTTTATGAATGCATGTAATGTAAGGGCTCTTTATCTGCTTGTCACAAAATCGGATACATGTGTGTTGAATAAAGGTTCAAAATATAACTGCATTAATAGTTTTTATTAGTGGTAAGCTAGTTGGGTAGTGTGTAGATCAAGGGGCGTGTCTCTTGATGTTTCAACTTTGACAAATTTCTTTTTATTTTTTTGTATTATAAAAAGTTTGCTTGTCGTTTGTTTTTTGATTAAGTGGTGCAAATTCTTCATCTCAACCCTTAATTCCAACTTTCAGAGACCAAAATTATCATATTAATGTCTATAATTGAAGAATCTTATTAAGTCTTAAGAATTGTGGGGCTTAATGAAGGATGTGTATGTTGCACCCAAAGGAAATGAGGTCGGGACCTGATGCTCAGTTGAGGGACAATCAAAAGGACACAAAAGGACTTTTGTTCATTCAACAAGCTACGAATGATGAAAATTTTCCACGACATGAATTTGACAATCAAAAGGACACAAAAGGGGTTTCATGAAAATCTTCCACCATTATCCCCATCACGCAACAACCCATTTTTCGATTAAATTCACTGCCTCGAAATTTCGGGTACGGCGTAAACAAATCCAATCCACCCTAATTAGATTTGACCTTGACAAATTCATCGATGGATCACTCTCCACACATGTGCAATTTCTCGACACCAAAACAGGAGAAACGAATCATGCTTTCCTGCCTTGGTACCGTAGAGATCAAATCATCCTATGTGTTATGTTCTTATCCTTGGTAGTTGCTCCGATAAACATTGCTCGTGAAGCCTTGGAGTATCTCACTGCAAGTTATGCCAGTGCCTCCTCATCGCGTATCATCTCGCTCAAGACAAGGTCACCAAGAATCCAAGAGGTAACCTATCTGTTACTGAATTTCTTCATGATATACAATCCAATGAGAATGGCCTAGCGCTTGCTCAAAATGCTATTGATGAGGAAGACCTCCAAGTCCGTATTCTTAATCAATTGGGGGATGAGTTCAACCTTATCGTAGCAGGGTGTAACGCCCTATTTTAGATCGTTTCTATTTCAAAGTGGTGATCAAGGATTGGGTATTAGCAGACTTAGGATCCTTGAAGAATTGAGTTTTGCGCTCATTTGGATGTGGATGATGCATATTGGATGATCCGGGTAATCACGTTGTATTTTTGGAGTTAAAGGGTATTTCGGGATATGGTAAGGCGGATATGAGTTGATTAAAGGATAGAGCTTCTCGATAGCTTTTCATGGATATATGGATCGTCGGAATCGGATGTATATCGAAGAAGTTATGGCCTTCGGAATGTGTAGGGTTTGAGGGGAAACCCTAGTACGTGGGGAGTACCTAGGGAGTACGCGGGGCGTAACGCTGTGGAGGAGGGTATGCAAGGCGTAGTGTGGATTACGTTGAGTGTAGGGTGAGGGTTGATTGGGAATGCGAAGCCTCGTATGCTGGGCATACGAGGAGTACGCGGGGCGTACGAGGGGAGTTAAGAAACCCTAATTTTTGGTATTGGACCATATATAAACACATTTAGTCCTTAGGGCTGGCCTATTTACCAGCCTCCAAGTTCCCAAAACCCTAGAAATCGTTTCTAAGCCTCCATGGTTGTAATTATGAGCTAATGATGTGGATTTTGGTGTTTTTGGGTCATTTCCAAGAAGATGGAGTTTGATGCAAGGTTATGAATCAGGGATGAGCTTATGGATCTGAATTATGTGCTTCATTTCTAGCTTGTTTAAGGTACAAAGCTTAAATCTTCTTCATTGTTGGCTTAGATGTAGTTTGTATGATTTTTTGGTTCATTTTGGTCCCGAGAATGAGATCTAGTGGTTTGGTACCACTCTACGAGCTATGAGTTGCTACTCTTGGTGTTTATGAGGTTCTAGATGCTTAAAGTTGTCTCCTGTAGGGTTTGGAATCCCCCATGCATGTGATGGTGTCCATTTGGTGGAAGTATAATGCTTTATTTTGATGTTGGGTTCTTTTGGGGAAAGCAAAGTCATCAATTCAATGACTTTATGGTTCTAGACGTTCTGTAAGAAGTAGATCTGTGGTGGAAGTATATGTCATTCTGCATGCCGACAGTCTTCGACAAATCTCAAGAGGATCGTATCTTGATTGAGTAGGTTCAGCATGGTCAGTTGTTGATCCACGTCTTTGTCGGGATCAACTCAGGAGTATTGCTTGGAGGAACTTTGGTCAGGGTTAGCGAGTTAGTTCTTTAGTGAAGTTAGGGTTCAGTGGTTTTATCATCTGTTCAGGCATGATCGGCGGTTGCCCATGGAAGAACTTTTGTGTTCCAACACTACCGTCGCTTGGAGAGAAGTGGTAGCAGTGTAACGCCCCATTCCTGGTATGTGCTTTAATAAAATAATTTTCATTTCTTAAGGGGTACTCGACGAGTCTGTAGCCCGACTCGTCGAGTAGAGACGGGATGATCACACAATTTAAGTTGGCTACTCGGCGAGTCTGCCTGTCTGGATGAAGCCCTAATTTCAAGGGTGTGTACCATATATAAACGTCATTATAGCCTCCCACCCCAGCCTCCATTTCCCCTGTAAACCCTAGCCCCCATTGTTGTTGTGCTAGTTTGGAGGTTTTGGAAGAGAAAGAAAAAAAGGAAGATCCAAAGGAGAAGAAGAAGATCCAGAGTCTCTTGATCATCAGCCTCACATTCTGGTACTAAAGCTTGTACCTTGCTTGCTATTTCCATTTGATAGTCTTGTATGCTTAGATGTGCTTCTTTTTGGGACTTTTTGGATTCAAACTCGAGATTGGGGCTCCTATAAGGAAATGGATCATAGATCTGAGTATATTTGAGCTGTAGGAGCTCAAAGTAGCTGCCTTTATGCACCCAAGGTCGAGTTCCAAACCCTAAGACCCCATTCTTAGCTTATTTTGATGTTCTAGCCTCATTTCTTCATGCATGCACGTAAAGTTGGAAACTTTACGTGTAAAACCAACCCCAAGAACCTAGATCTATGATTTGGAAGCACTGAAA